AATCACGCGCGCTCGTGCAGTGCGAGCATCGTTCAGGATGACGCGCTTTTCCGGGTAGCTTCGGGTTCACTATCAAGTAAAGTGAAATATACGTGCTCGGGGAAGCTGTGAAAGAAAGCAAATATGAAAGGAATGTTTAATGGAACGCTGCGGCCGCAAGCAGCATAATTCTGTTCTTTTTTTTTTAACTTTTTTTAGACGTTTTGTTACCGCACATCTACAGATGCTGACAGCGGCTTGTATTCGAACGTGGCACGTGCAAAATCGAACGTTACAGCGCCACACGGATGATGCAGCCAGCAAAACGTGGTCGCGTCTTGCGTAAGTCTTCCGGACGCGCTCGCGCCCCCTGCCCAGAGCAACGGGTATATGACTACTGCATACGCCAGCACGCGCAATGCCTGCAACTACACTCGTAGCATGCACCTCGGTACTTGGGAAATTTGTGTGCTATCAATACAAGGCCGATTGAGTCAAGGCAATCCACTTTCCAAAGACGTTTCCATGCATGCCGACAATTATCGTGTTCATTAAGGCTTAAGAATGGCCAGAATCGAAATACTATCTAAAAAATGCGGCGAGGTCATTGCTCATGCTTTGCGATTTAAGTGAGGTAAGGCAAAGGGAAAGCCTCCTGCACCATTAGCTACTGACTACCGCGCGCGATATTGCAGCTACAACGACATATCAGTTCCGAAGCGAGTGGCGCTCACTTTGCGGGGCACCGCCATGTTTTCCCGCATCCCTACCGATCCCTGTCACATGATCTCAGAATCCCTCTCCTAGGTACTGCGGCTAACTTTAGCCGCGGTTAGCGCTTCGAGCAAACGGGCCCTAAAGCCCCTGTATCCTGGGAAAAGTGGCGCCTTCATTGTTGTGGAAACGCGCGAGACAAGTTCAGCGCGCCACTTCTGGAAAGAACATGGCGTCTGAAATCTAGCTCAGTGCTGCGCTGTGCCGCCTTGACCTTCCCAAGGGATGCACGTTGCACGTGCCTCGTGCATCGACGCACTTTGCGCTACTTTTGAAACATGAAGGGGCTTTAATGGGCCCTGCTGTTCATTAATAATGTTTATGTTGTTCATTTAGTGTGAAACGTGTCGCGAGTGACGATTTTGAAACAACACAGAAAGAAAAAAAAAAGTCAGGGGTTTGACATTGGCGTTTTGTATTATATATACAATATATATATATATATATATATATATATATATATATATATATATATATATATATATATATATATATATATATATGCTCGGGCTGAGAGTGGTGGAAGGATCGAGGAAACGTCAGAAGGGTGTCCGAGTTTTTTTCTTTTCCTTCCCGCGCCGTGACCCTTCTTCAAACCGAGTGGCACCCGCCGCCTAAAGCCCCTTCATGTTTCAAAAGTAGCGCAATGTTCGTCGATGCACAAGGCACGTGCAACGTGCAGCCCTTGGGAAGATCATGGCGGCACAGCGCAACACTTAGCTATTTCAGACGGCATGAATTTCCCAGAAGTAGCGCGTCGCACGTGCCTCGAGCATTTAACATCAATGAACGGCGCCACTTTTCCCAGGATAGAGGGGCTTTACCGTCGCCGGCACTGCCACGCCTCTCAGCTTCTCAACATGACAAAAGAAAAAGCCAGGGAGAAGGATGCCTCCTCGTCAAACGCGCCAACGCGCCACCCTCGTCCAACAGACATGGGATGCAATTTCTGCCTCCTTCGCCTGAACCTTGGGAGCTGCCCTGCTTCCAATCGTCGATGGCCTGGCCAATCTCGCCCCACACGGCCAGCAGTCTCAACAGTCTCTCTGGCAAAACTGTGAACGCGAGCTATTCGAACGTCGGCACGGTAAGCTCGAACATCCACAGACGCGCCGAGAGATCGCTTCCAGCATCGCCGGAGGCCTCCCCCTGCCACCGCCGGAGGTATGGCTTCTACGAGAATCATTTCTACCAGAGCCACCAGCGCAATCCAACTACCTCTGATAGAGCCCCCACCACCCATGCCGGAGCGAGAATCCCATTCATGCCTACGACATTCTGAGCGACCTCGCCCAGGACACCATAAGTTTCTCCACGAGAGATGTCCATGAGATCAGGCATCTCCCCCGCCATCGGTTCTACTGGGATGACATGCTCCCCGAACACCAGCACCTCATTTTCGATAAACTGGAACTCTTCCACGTCGTCGCGAGAGGGAACTGTAGGACGGCAGTCCTATCCCAGACGTCGAGGATTCGAGTCTGAGGTTTTCAGAGAGCTCCCCGACCAGCTACCCAACCAGCCTCGACGCGGACGCCACACGCCTCGTGCTCCCGCGCACACCAGCTACCGCCCAGACACCAAGTCGAAGAGGCCCCCTAATCGTGAGTCCGGCAGCTACGCTGAGTCTTCGAAACCCACCAGTGCCGTCATTGACGGCACAGTCGTCTCCTCGACGCTCCTGTGCGTTTTTCCTGTCGAGGACATTCTCGCCCATGCTCTTTGCGAGGCTGGCGTCTCGGCCGACCGTGCCCGAGCTTGATCTTGGATCGAAGAAAACGACCCAATGGATCCCGACTCGACAACCACCGCCACCGAGCGAATCCTGGAGTGGCTCAGCAGGACCGACAGTCATTGAGCCCCACGCCGATGACGGCTCCTTCGACACGTACGATGGCAAGGAGGAAAACCACACCAACACAAAGGAACACACTACAGACAAACAAAGCGTCGTCGAAGACTCTCAGTCGGACCTGGGTAGCACTGCCTACAAGTCAAAAGCGACGGGACCTACACCGCCAGTCCACTCGACCCAGCAGGCACCTGAAGTCGACTGGGCAGTGTTTAGTGAGGCAAGTAGTTTTCACGGGCCGCCCGACTACGGCGGACTTTCCATTCGCTGCACGAAGGCTTCTTGCCTCACGGCCCGCCCAGCCCAGCTCTCAATTTTATTACTTCATTCCACTTAGCAGTATTTTACTAGTGGATGGCTGTAGTTCTGTTCCTTCCTTCAGTGAAGCGAAGACTCGCCTGCATGTATGAGGTTGAAATCAACTGTAGCGACGAGAAAGTGCGAATGGTTCTTCCAGCATAAAGTGGGAACTTTCTTATGGTAATTGTTTATAAATGGTGTCAAACAACAGAGTAGCGCTGTTTATTTTAATTTTTATTATATAGAACGCGATGATCCCCGAGTACTAGAAGTAACATGTATGCTCGGGCATCAAACTAAATAATGTAAGTAGATGTAGTGAACAAGAGTTGGAGCTAGGAACGTGTGCAACTTCTGACCAATTAGAAGTATTAAGACGTTTCTAGGTTCCTTGTATTTCACGTTATTGGATATCTGAGACTACTTTAAACAGTTTTTTCTAAAATGGCTGTCTAGCATTTCAATTAGACAAATTATTGGAAAAACCGAAATAAACCGGTTTTTATGAACGTGTAACCGGTAACCGAAACCGTAAAAATTAAAACCGTAAAAAACCAAAACGAAACCGTTATCAACAGGAAGCGGTAACCGTAACCGTAACCGAAACGTTATATTTTTCGGTTTGAGTCCCTGGTTAAAAGCAGGATGTCCCACTGTCACGTTGAGGACCCGGCCAGCTGACACCGGGGATTCGCGTCATGGGCTTCTGAAACCGGGGCTTTCAAAAGCGGAGCAAAAAGGCCGTTCGACACCGGGTGCTTTCGTGCACCACCCGCAAAAGGCTGCTGGAACTTTATAAAACCTTGCATTTTAACCAATTTTGCTGCTATTTGTGCTACCTACAGCTGCGCAGCGGTAAGGCACGACGACTATGAAGCCACACCGCAAGAATAGCAGAGAGGGTCAAACCGAACCAGCATTGTCCGAGTGACTGATCGGACGACAGTGCCCCCCAAAGTGGTGCCTTCCCCTTTACTCCCCTCTCTCAGGGTTGGTGCATACTCCCAGCGGTCACTGAAAAAAGTAAATTTGTTAACTCATAAATTTTAAAAGGAAGAAACTTTCTTCTTTTTTCCTTCTAATTCTATTCTTTTTTTTTTTTCTAGTAAATGATGACTTCTGTTGTTAATGTAGCCAATGAAAAATGGGAACACTGACAAACACTTTTTACACCTGTGAACAATAAGTGCAGTGATGAACTTCCGTCCATTCAAGGGCGTATCTTCGTCACTGAAGAGGCATATTCTGCTTCAAGATGAAGACGCTTTCTTGAAGCAATGGTCTGTCCCAATGTCGCACGATAGAAAAAAAAAAAAGACCTGTCTCCCCTCTTTGTTAATTTATTGTAACCGACTGAACTGTGGACCTGCCGGACTTTTTACGTACAGGATATGTTCTTAAAAAGGAAGCTATTCTCCTAGGATAGAATGAAAACACGGGTAAAAAGGTCAAATACAAAATAAAAAAGGTACCGCGAAGAATAGCTGATTCCCTTTTCAGAGAGCGCCTTTCACGCGTGAACGGAGGGATGAAGTGGGAAAAAGTGTGTGGTCGAGAACAGCCACTTACCTCGCCAGAAAATAATAAGTCGCATATCCATTCAAGTTCTGGTATGATAGTTACCTTCTCTGATTCAGTAACCAACGTGTAGGTGGAAAACAAATTTACCGGTGGAGTAATTCGATTTCTGGTGAACTTAGAGCCGCGTCAAAACTATTTCAAAAGCGATATCAAATTATGTAACATGTATTGTAATACTTCCAAATTCTCTAAAGGAAAAATCGATGAAACTGCGTTCGATGAAATGTCCGGTACCCGTTTACATGCTGTACTGCCCGATATGACGCAGTAACAACGCGATTTGCAGGAATTCCTTGCGACTTGCTGTGGACTAGGATACATCTCATTAGGGCCGAACGAGTAGCTCGCATAGAGTCACTTGAGGTCACTCCCAACTACAAGAACCTCCCACACAGTGGATATGCTCCCCATGTTCGAAAACCGCTGTACTACGCCGCATTTGATCGAAGTGAAGTGGCAAACGCAGGCAGAAGCTACTGCTGAGGCGCGCGGAGCGGGCGGCGCTTGAACCCACCTTGAAGGCGAACAGCTCTTCGTTTTCGGCCAATTCGACGGTGCAGCCTTCGAGGATGACGACGCCGACGGGTTCGCGGTCCGTCTTCTTCTCGAAGTAGAAGAGCAGGTTGCCCTTGAGCAGGAACCAGCGCTTTTGGAAGGACCGGTTCACTTCGCCCCGCTTCATGAGCCAGCCTTCTCGGTCCACGGGGGTGTTGCTCAGCGCGAAGGTGACTAGGTTCTTGTCGTTGATCTTCATGATGAGGGCAAGGCGATAGACCAAGCTCCCCTGTAACGTGGTACGTGTACAGAAGCCAAGATTCAGCGACAGTTGTCGCAAAAAATATGACGCTAAAAGAAAAAAGAAAACACGCTCGTTCGCGCGGCGGATTGCGCAGTTTGGCAGGTTAGCATAACGGCAACAGCGCTACGGGCATTTGAGCCATAAATAAATGACGGTAGATCGAGAGGGAGCGCGTAAAAACGCAAAGTTATGTTGTCGAAAGTCGACGCCCGAAGGGCACATACCGCTGCTTCAGCAATCGCTCCAAAACATCAACCTTTCGTCGACGTCAGCTTCCTGGAGACATAACGGTCGCTTGTGAGCAGAGTTCGAGCGACTGCACGGTGGTTTAAAAGACTTCAAAATGTTTCCACGGTAAGGTTTCATTCGGTTCTAATTTAAAACATTTTTATGTCCAAAGATTGGCCGCAGATGCGCGCAGCCGAAACTACGAATTCCAGAGGACCGCAGAATCTGTCGGCCGCTGAGGGCCGTTCAAAATTAATAAGGCTAAAACAATACGAACGCTGGGGGCGCTAGCAACAAGTTGTTTAGGACGGATATGCACGATACACCCAGCGAGGTGAGGGGCTTAGAGCGATACATTGGCAGCTGAAAGTGACCCCCCATCCGGCCGCCGCGATGTTGCATATTTTTGACCTCTGTACATGTGACCTTATAGTTTTACGTCTTTAACCAAAGTACGGCCACGGCGGCCACCGGACGGCCATCTTTCATAGAGCGAAATCGCGTTTTCGCTAGCGTTGCAGAGGCTGACGGCAGCGGCAGCGTGGTGAAGAGACGTTTTCTACTCGTTCGTCGTCATTCGCCGAAGACGTTTTTTTAAAACCCTGTGTAAGCCGTGAGACTTGCCGTTGAGAATAGGGATGTCGCGAACATGTGTCGAACCGAATTTTTGGGTCGAACTTTCACGGTTCGAGTGGGTCGAACCGGTTCGACCAACCTTCGAACTTTTAAGGCTCGTTCACACAGACCCGTTTTCTTACGTTATGTTATGAAAAGTCATCGGGAAATCTGTGCTTCGTATTAAGCGCGGCTACCAATTCAAGGAGACAGCCTGGCACGCGACATTCGAGACACGAATGTTTCGGTGACGAAGAGCTAGGACGGTAAGTTGCCGTGGCGACCGAGGACACAAGGTTCGTCGTAACGTAACGTAAGGAGTTCAGCCGTTCAGCTCGATTCAACTTTTCACACAGCACCGTTTTCTTACGCTACGTTTAAGCCACCGAAACATTCGTGTCTCGAATGTCGCGTGCCAGGCTATCTGCTTGAATTGGTAGCCACGCTTAATACAAAGCACAGATTTCCCGGTGACTGTTCGTGAAAACGGGTCTGTGTGAACGAGCCTTTAACGCTTTAACCACAGGCGACCGGAAGACTGTGGCGGCTGTTGCGACTTGTGTGGGTGGCCAAGGCGTAGCCAGACAAGCGTTTCGGGGCAGTAAAACTGGAAACGCCGATTGGCTGAAAAAAAATGACGTCACTTCCGGTTTTGTTATTTTGTTGATTTTTAGATAACGTTTTAAAGTAAAAATATATAAAAAGGTACTTTTCTTGTTTTTGTTTGTTTTTACTTTTTTTTTTTTTATTTTCCTTGCTTGATTCTTTAATTTTGGCTGGTACGGTTCCGTTCTGTTCCGCCTTGGCGCCCTTGGCCGCGGGGGCAATGTTTTTGTTTTCGTTCTACGTTCAGGTGTTGGGTGGCGACGTATTAACCGTCGATAACCAGCTGAAGCAGCTGAAGTTCTCGAGTGGAACGAGGTTGACTGTGCGCAGTGGCAGCCGTTGACAACAAAAACAATGTATGCACTCAGCTTCGCCGGATGAGTCCCGGCGTCGATCGCGAACCGCCAGAGCCGCCAAATACCTCTCGTACATCTCCAAGAACACCAAGAACAGGAGGTATTCATAAAGGTGAGTGTTCACCGCACTTTAGTGCTTCAGTTCCGTTTGGAGTCGTTTGACGTAATTTAGTCCGGTGCGTCCGGGAACAAAGGCGCTACCAGAAATGGCGGGAATGGTCGGTCGGTGCTGAATGCTGATGCCATCCAAGCGGATTTGAATTGGGTTTCGTGCGCTCAACGTGTCGATTTGTTTCTTGAGCTGCCTTTACCAACCGCTCGCCCGAAATCGTTCGGTAGAACATGCGGACGTGACGGCTAGCAGAGCCCTCCGCAAAGGCTTAGGAGCGCGCTCACAATTTTGGAAGCTTCCGTATGACCGCAAGTGCTCAATAAGTCGCTATAGCAATGATTGCATGCCATCGACACAGACTTCGATCCAGTTTTTCAACGAGACAGGAAGGCCCAACGAAGCAAGCGTAGAATCTGATGCTTCGCCTGTCACTGTCTGCGCGGGAACACGCCGAGAGGCGCTTAAACGAGCTGCCAGGGCGTAATTAAAAAAAAAAAAAAAAAATCTAACGCAGGTCTGAACCACGCGAGGATCGTCTCGAAGCATGGTAGCCTCAACAGACGCTTGCCGCCACACGCGAGGAGAAAGCAGGAGGCCCGAAGTTTGAATGTGAAGGTAAAACGTGCTTTAATAATAATGATTTTTATCTGCACGTTCCTTTGTATGACTAAGGTGATCGTGCTGAGACACAATATAGCAGCGATTGCTCTCGAACAAAGGACAGGACAGCAGAAAGGCAATGAGAGGCAGGGAGATAACTGACCTCTCTGTTGTAAAACATTTTTCAGAGGAGGTGCGAAGAGCTGGCCCTCACTTTTTCAAGGCAGCCGCAGAACACTACGAGCCCCGAATCACTGCCGCGGCTGACTCACGCGGATGCTGTGCTGCACCCTGCACTGCACATGGTTCGAAGCACACTTCAGGGGACCAGTGCATGCCCCTGATGCATCGTCGCGGTATGTTTTGTACTGCTTTTCCTAGCGGTGCACTGAGCAGTCCAATCTTGAAGGGAGCACGCGAGTGCGTAGCCAGTGCTCCATGCAGCAAGGACCGCAAGCACCCGCGGAAGCTTGGAGCACACGCAGTGACGCCAGCAGCCGTGCACGCTGGCGTCGTCTGCTACTGTACCGTCCTTTCGTTCGGTGCGCAGAAAAAAAAAGGAGTGACCGCTCTGTTAAAAGTCTGATGGTGAAGGCATCCTTTACAGAAGCACTGTATGGCTCTCTGCACGCTAGAATGGGGGCTGTCGTTGATGCTCGCAGAGGCGTCGCCCACAACTAAGCAGACGACCAAAGTCCTGAGCAGGTGACTAATCGTTTCATTGTTGTTCTTTGGTAGGGTAAGGTAGATAATGTGCTTCTACTCCCAGCTTTGTTTTTTTTTTTGTTTTTTATCACCATTTAGTATGTTACCATCAAAACAGCATCCTGGTGTTCACATAAATATGTGTTAACAATACCTATCGTCAAATATGTGACTCAAAGAGCCAACTGCGGCCGAGGATATCTTTTAAGTGTTCTTTTTCTCACAAAGATCCCTGGCATCTGGCATTGACTTTTTAGCCACATACCTTGAGTCCACAAAAACAATGTGCTTCAGCTAAATGGTATTCACACAAAATACATCCTGACAAGCTGCTTTCACTCTCGAGCCTCGAAGAAATTTTGCAGTTTGATTTGAACTATGTTGCAGGTTAAGGAGGTAGGGTCAGGGAAAAGAAGGTGGGAGAGGAGGAAGCGGGCACAATGCTGGTCAAACCCTCTCCCTTCGCCGGCGTTGCATCCATCTCGTCCTCTCCCACCTTCCTTTTTCTTCCCCTACCTTCTTGAGTTGTCACCGACCATATAAAAGGCATGCATTGATATCACTTGTTCGTTTTGTGGCCATGGCGCCAGCAAGGTTTGAGAAACGTATCCTGCTTCACAGGAATTCAGCACTCAACATGGAGAAACTATTGGCAGTGCTGCTGTAATGTCTTTGTCCTCGTCTTTTGCAGCGATCTAAAAAAGAGAAATATAATACTAGGAACACAGAGCAACGTCACGCGCCAGTACATAGTGTACTACGAAGGGCAGGTAAATTGACTGCGGAACACGATTTTCTCAATGTCCTCACGGTTCTTTCGGCCAAGTACATACAGATAAGACGATTACCATTAGAAATGTTGAACGCCAATCCGAAATGTTTTTTGGCGGTGTGCCGAGCAAAAGGACATTGCTGCAACAGAAAACATGTGCCATCCTCCGCCTTTGGTGCTTCTGTGTCTGCGCCGAGCTTCCGCAGCCACCAACAGTCAACGCTGCATGGACTGCCCGCCATGCTTTCATGCGTTCCATGTATGATTGGCACGGCATGTGGATGTGTCATGCAAGTGACATCAGCGCTGTTGGCAGTGCCATGCTGGTTGAGCTTTGCTAGGCTCTGACCATTGACAAGCTGTTTTATGCAATAATCGCTCTTGGAAGTCCCCAAACTGTTTTTAGCAATTCAAGTGTCAGATTTTTTTTAGCTATGGTTATACAGGTTTTCTTTTTTAACATTTACAGATTTCAAAGAAAAAGTGAAAGTTATGACAGTTATAAGTTATACGGCCAGGCGGACATTAGATTCATGGAAGAATGCAGCTAAAAGTCCGTGTAGATCATGTGTATCATGCTTCTCTGCAGCGCAGCTACATACTTGCGTAGGACCACCCCCATGAAGTGGGGTGGGGGGGCTGCATGCGTGTGTTGGGTAGCCCCTCTTGGTTTTACAACTCTACCCTGTTGTAAAATTTTAGATTTTAATGCGAACAAGTTGATAACAAAAAAGAACTTGGTCAACATTGATCTTACAACTAGAGATGTAAAAGGAACAAAAATAGAGAACAGCAAAATGTGGAAGAAGACATCTCGCTTCTTTCATTTTCATTTGACTAAGTGACATCGGTCGGCGACTGTAAGACTTTTAATCACAATAGTTATACACCACAGGTCCCGGGGATCATGGCATCGATGAGCTCGCTTTCGCCTTGTCCAAGGTAGCAGCGGAACACTACGGGCAGGCCCGGAGTCACCGCACCGGCTGGCTCACGGGCGTCGTCCTGTACTCTGCACGGCACTGCGTGTGGCTTAACCGGCCAAGCAGAGGGTCACTGCATGACCTTTATGAGGCGTCGCTAGCCATTGTAAGTATATTTTGGACGCTCGTGTCAGGGGATGTACTTTTGTGTTCTACAACAGAACATGTTTGGTGGCGGTTCAGTCTTGCCAATTCAGCCATTTCGAAACATAAATTTGTGGCGACTTGGCTTAGGTTTTCTGGCTCGGCCGTCTTTTGCACCAGTGTCTAGGCTCGGCGTAAGCCTCTTTGTTCTTTATTGTCAAGGCTAGTGTAATTTCTGCTACGCCGTCGAAGCAACTTCTGCATGCGAACAAGATGCAAGACGAAGCTACATGCTCGTGCACAGTGCATGACCACATGTGAAAACTAATAGAGAGTTTGTTTCGCTGCAATCGTGCCCATGCGCACCCACTCGCAACATGAAGTGAGTTTGTTTCGCCGCCGGCACTCCACACGTGCGTGCGCTCGCTGCGCCCTGAGAATTAAGTGTGTACCTGAATGCACTCCCGTCATGCATCACTTAGGCAGGGAACAAGAGCAGATGACTGGTTTGTCCACCATGCGGGACAGTAGAACTGCAGAAAAAGTGAACTTTCTGCTAAAAAAATGACGTCCCACGAGCAACAAAATCGGACACAAGCTTGAATTGTGTGTCTGCTATTCTATAAAGCAAGCAATCCACAACCTGTGCTTAACTTGCAAGTTTTCAGTCATTTTGTTGCTGTACAGACGTCCATATACACCGGTGGATAAAGAAAGGTTCAGAACGAACATCAGCCACCGCGAGATATCTCTCACCATCCGTGCGGGGCTAAAGAGTTGGGACGTTAGTTGACAAAGCTTGCCCGGCAGAAACCTGCGACGCGTCCAATCGGGAGCCGAGAAAGCTAAACTGTTTTTACCCGAGGCTTGGATAAAATCACAGTGTTTAAAAAGGAGCCATGGAATTTATTTTGGGTGGGATAAATTAACTTAGAATCGTATTTTGCTAATACAGTTGAACCTTTCAAGAACGAAATTCTCGCGGCAACGAAGAAATCTGGCGGCCCCAGCGAACGTCCATAGGGTTCAATGCATTTGCACCCTCTCAACAGCAAAGAGTTTTAAAAAGCAGTCCCGCATTAACGAAAGTTTGAGGTAGTGATCTGCCATAGAGTTATTCAATGTGTCTACCAAGTTGGCATTTTCAAATTCCCTGAGTTTTTCAGGTTTCCTCTGAGTACTTTTGTGAAATTCCCTGAGTGACACAGAACTTTGTTTTAGGTCAAGATGGGCGGACACCATGTCGCCACATGCTGTCACTCTCTAAAAAGCATGTCATAAAATAAAATAACAACACAATACAGTTTTGATGATAGCGAGTAACTTTTATTAGATTTAAAAAGAAAACAGAACGAAGTGGTTAGTAAAATTGATAGCGAATAAAGTATAAAAAAAGGTAAACTGAGGTTTACGTGACCCCCCCGGGTCTGGTCATGTGACCTGGGGGGGGGGGGGGGGGGGGGGGTGTCGAGACCTGACGGCGACGCCGCTCAAGCCGGAAACGGGAGCAATAACAGGGAAAGGAAAGGGTAAACAAACATAAGGCGTTCAAAGTGCGATTGCTCAACCCTTGTTGTCAAAACACTCCACCTAACAAAATCTTTTTTTTTTTTTTTTTTTTTTTTTATTTTGGGGTGAAGGAGTCGCACAGTGACAGCGGTGTTTGCACGCGACCGTTCCAACAGCGGGCACTCCCTGCCCTCCCCACGCGCGCAGGTGCCCTTCCCCTTGCTTTTGCCATCCTCCACTTCTTTTGTTTTTATTGGTTGCTTTTTTTATTTTTTATACAATTGCTTTTTCGCTGCGCATCCCCGCGTGCGCGTATGCTGGGTTGGCGGTCTGCCAGCCTTGCAACCCGAGCTGTGTGCTCCCTGCCGGCGCAATCCAACCTATAGGGAGAAGCGAAGAACGGCCTTCGTTCGCTACATCGAGTGTCCCCTCCATGGGAGTTATGGGCATTCGATACAGAAAAACAATGCAATTTTCTAGGGGATGTTTGGACTGTTTCATATAAACAATAATTCGATATACGGGTGTGATATAACCGGGTTCAACAGTATGTTTGGCCGTCTCCCTTAATTTCCAGATACCTTCGTTCGTTTGGCACGTATATCCCCGATGCTAGAAAGCGCCGACGTTGTGTTCGCGCTGAGAGTGTCCGACAGTGCACATAAATACACGTGCGAAGCCGTTTTTGCACCGTTTTTTTTTTCCCCATAGAAATGCATTACCGGAAGTCAATTTTCGACTGGTTGCTGTCTGCTTCAACTTGCGTCGGCACACTAGCACCACTTGAACCTCTAGCGTACATTACAATAACCCTACGCGATCTGCAACATTTTTTCGTCAAATGAGCCAGTTTGGAACCCAGAATTGTGAAAAATGGAGCAGTACACTCGTCCGACAAGTTGGGCACATACGTTTCCGACAAGCATCGGCGCGGCCATTGCTGTTTACATTCGGTCAAATAATGATGACAATGGCAACTATACCGTAAAGTTCCGAGAGAACGCCCCCGCCCGAAACCTCGCCCACCCACCTTTTTGGACGAAATATATATTTTAATAAAGTTCCCAAACATCGCCCACCCCCTAAAAATCGCAGTAGCTTCGACGCATTCGAAAGCCCGGGAAGCCCCCGCCGCGAACATACCTCTGGAAAAACCGATGACTCGTCCGCAAACACCGCCAGTGACCCGATTTCTAACAAAAGAGAAGATCTTTTCCGGTTAGATTGATAAGATAAGGGCGAACTAGAAGTGAATCATTCAAGACGTCCGGGTACAAAGGAAAAGAAGAAACAGCTCAAGCAAACAAACTCCACACTAGTAGACAGTCATTCCTCTGCGTGCCCCGCAGCTGTTCACCTGCCCTCGCTTCCAGCATCGACCATGAGGAATAGCTACACCATCCAGAGAAAGGTGGAAGTTGTCCAGTGGCACAAGAAGAATGGAGACAACGTAAGCAAAACTGCAAGACATTTTGAGCTGGACAGGAAACGTGTTCGCGAATGGAGCACCAACTACCAGTCCCTTCTGCAGCAGTGCCACGGCAAAAACAAATTCAAGAGAGCCATCAACAACGGACGGCCGGTCTTCAGCGAAGAGCTCGATGAAGCACTCATGGACTTCTTGGATACCGAGCGGGCGGCGGGGCGAGCGGTGAGCAACCGCGTCCTTCAAGAGCACGCACGCAAGTTGGCGGTTCAGATGAACCTGGGCAACTTCGAAGCTTCGAACCACTACCTGGCCCGCTGGAAAGCCCGCTTCAATGTGTCGATGCGAGTGGGGACGAACGAGAGTCAGAAGCTGCCGGCTGACTACGCTGACGCAATCTCCGTCTTCCGGAGGGCTGTGGGAAGCCTGCGCCTGGAGCACAGTTACTCCAACTTTAGTATAGCCAACATGGACCAAACCATGGTACGCATGGACTGCCCAGCCAAGCGGACAAACAACGTTGCCGGCGAATCAAGCATCCGCATCGTGAACACAGGCTGTGCGCGTCGTGGACTGACGGTTGCACTCTGTGCAACAGCTGCGGGCATCAAACTCCCGGCTCTCATCGTGCTCAAGGAACCGATGGGCCGGATCCCGCCAAGGGCACTGTTCGCACTTCAAATCCCAGGTATTGTCTCAATTTCCGCGTGCGGCCAATGTTACTTCTGGTTTGCCCAAACAAATTTCAGCATAAAAATAAGTTGAAAACATGCACTCACGCCTTTCGCATAAAAAAAAAAAAAAAGTTTTAGGACAGCGTTGTTTTGTGAACGATATAAAAAGCGCCTTCCACATGTATTTGTGCATTTCTAGTAGAGGGCGCTGCATGGGTTCGTCACAAGTTTTGTTTTTTCATCAATACCGTCAATACTACGCAGCGATGCGGCGATGCTTTCGTGTTTGCGGCTGCTCCGGTTGTTGGTGGTTGGCTTTGCCGGAGTTTGGAATGAAACCGAATCTCGGCTCCTTTCAGAAAATGTGAGAGTGACCTGTTCAAGAAACGGATGGATGACTACGCCGGTCTTCCTCGAATGGGTGCGGAGGGTGTGGGGTGCCAACAAAGACGACGTGAGGCGGCTGCTCGTCTTGGACCAGGCGCCCATTCACAAGACAGAGGCAGCGCGGGAGGCCCTCGACGGGAAGGAAACCGACGTTGTCTTCATTCCTGGCGGGTGCACGTCTATTCTCCAGCCAGCAGACGTGTGCTGGATGAAGCCCTTCAAAGATGCTCTCAGGAATCGTTGGTCCTCCTTCTTGCGGGAAGGGGCTGTCACCGCCAAAGGGAACCTCAAGAAGCCGTCGCGTCAGGATGTCGTCAGCTTCGTGTCCGAGGCTTGGGCATCTCTATCGGAGGAGGCCGTCCTGACGTCGTTCAAGCGCTGCGGCATCTCAACACGCCTCGACGGCTCAGAAGACGGGGAGTTGAACCACCGCCTGGCCTCTGTAAGCGACGAACCAGCGATGGGGCCCGAAGCTCGGGAGAGCATAGTGGACGAAGTAGTGCAACTCGTCTTTGACAGCGACAGCGATGAGTCGTTCGATGGATTTAGCGATGACGAGTGAGCAATAAATGCGTATGCACCGCTGATCTGTCAAATGCAGCCATTTTTTTTGTAGTTTTTGGCCCTTGGCCCGAAACTTCGCCCACCCCATGTTTTTCACCATTTATCTCTTAATTTTGGGTGGGCGTTCTTTCGGAACTTTACGGTATGCTTTTTTTTGGGGGTTGGTGAAAACAGCGTTTTGCTAGCCCATCTGTTGGCAACTACCTAGGTACGTGACGACACCGCCTGCTGCTATTTCGCCGTCCGCCGCGTGCACGCCGAGATCGCTCGCGCCTTGTTTACTACCTTTTGTTTGGCCTGTCGGAAAGATGCCGCCTCCCATTAAAAAGTTTAAGTTTTTTGCACTTCAGAAGAACTCTGCGATCACTGCCAAAGCCAGAAAGAAGTCTGATATTACAGAGGAGTTCAGTATCCTTTGCTTCTCGCTTTCTACGATTCTGAAATCCAAGGACAGCATCATGAAAAGTAATAGGTGTGCTTAGTTGTCCATTTCTGCAGCAGCGAAATTCTTGCGAGAACGAGAAACGTTTCCTTCCCCCGCGGTTTGGTTATTACGGGTGTGATGATGTGACTTAATGTGGAAAAGAAGTGCAAGTCAACCCATGGATCGGCCTGGAGGGAGAAACGAAGAAGAGAGATTTTGGAGTGCGTGCTCAGAGGGCGTGAAAAGGACTGGCCGGGAGATTGTGCAGAGAGCGGAACGACACGATCGGCCAGGGCAATCGGCGGCCTCCTACTGTCTGACCAGCAGCCTGTTCCAGCGAGGGCAGCGAATAGAAACCTACGCTGCCCCCGGCTTCCTACAGCGGGAGCGCTTGGTGCGGTAACTCTGGGGCCGCCGACGGAAGCCAACCGCTCCCGCTCCTGACTTCCAGCCACAACCGTGGGCCGACAACGACAGCACAAGACACACTGCTGCACAGGGACTCAAAGACATGGTGACTGATGCGTTTTCCTTTCTTTAACTAAGTTTTCTTTTTTTGTATAAGCATATGAACCCTTTGATTTTTTTTTGTAAATACAAGTTTTCATGAAAAACGAAGGACATTGTATTTTGTCAATTATTAACCACAAAGAACCCTGTGACAACGGGGTTCAACTGTAACATATTGTTCAGTGGGCCGAGAGTCAAAAGTCTGCTTTTCGGTACGAAAATTCGAAAACATGACGGACTATTTTGTACTTCCTTTCCCTCAAAAGCTTTCCGCATTTTCAGTGCGACACATCCGTGGTACCCAAAGCACGTGAGCCGGCCCTAGCTCACATGTTAGACTCGACCACTGTGTCACCATTGGCGACGAGATGTTTTGGTGGTTTCATCTCGCGGACGCCTTCCTGTAGCGGTGCTGGTAGGATCGAGCAGACGACGCGCTACGTCAAAGCACCGAGTGGCTAGTTAGTTCGCCTCTATGTCGATTAAAAATGGATTATTAACCCTTTGCAGTCAGATACTCTGACCAACTTAAAGGGCAACTCCGGCCAAAACTCAAAATGAAATAAATTACTGGTATCGTTGTAGACACACAAAATACGACCTCAGCCAAAATATTACGTCCGTGGGACGCCGCATTCTCAACTAATGCCGATAATAAAAATGTGACCTGCCGCAAGCCGCTGCTTCTTAGCGGGCGGCCAGCGGGTTGGCGATCGCTAAAGCAACATTGCGCCGTGACGTCAGTATCGTTCTCTTTTCCTCCGGCCCGGGCGTTGCGCGGAGTGCGTTTCTTCGAGCCGCTACCACCGGTACTTCGGCTTGTGATTGGCGTGTTTAGCCGTTGATTTTATCTGTAGCCCATGTAGCTTCGCTATAGCCTTTTGTTTATCTGCTTGTGAGGACTCCAAGACTCGTTTTAGCGAGCAACTTGGTGCGCCCAAGACTGCCCAGCTGTTCCTCAAAAGATGCCGAGTACAACTTGTAGCGCTGTGGGCTGCTCAAACAACCCGCTGTGCAACACGGAGGTGCTTTTTCACTAGTTTCCAACGGACCAAAAACTGGAGAAGGTGTGGGTGAACGCTGTTCGACGAGTAGACTTTGGACTTCGGCTTTTAAGCGCCCGAGGAAAAAAAAAAGAACGAAAAAACAGACATGTACAGCCCAGCACACATGTGTTGGGGTGCCGCAGCCCGCGCCGGAGAACCTCAAAGCTTCGTGTCTGGGACTGTCCCGCAGCGCGAAAGCGAGGGGGCCCTCAGGGCGTCACCCATCCCTCCGTATCCTTTCATCCTCCTCCTCAAGAGCTGCGCTCTAATCCGGCGTTACAGGAAGTCGTAAACGGCTTTTTTTTTTTTTTTTTTTTTTTTTAAGTTTTGAATATTGCTTATTTTACTGTAGGTAGATGTGGGAGTTGTTTACGAAAATATTTTTGGAGACCGCAGAAGCAGACCACACGAGTCACCCCCCTCGCCCAAGTGAGGGGTGACCTGCAGTCTGTTTGGAAAGATACTGTGTCTGTAGCTTTGATACAAAGATATCTTTCAAAGATACTTTGAAAGATACTGTGTTTGTAGCTGGCTTCAGTTGCTGCGTTCGAATGTGCATCTATTGACATTTGGTGACCGTAGCAGTCAATTTATTGTGCAGGAGGAGACTGGTGGGGCGAGATCAGGAGCACACTTGGGCTCTCTTGCAGTACTTTTCAATGCGGCCACAGAACATGAACATAGGGTTCTAAATAAGGACTGAACGCAGATGGCCGTTACTCTGTGGCGCCTATTATTTTGACAAGCCTTCCATGAAAGGCACTTTTTTTTTTTCTCACCTGGAACATAGGGTTGAAGTATCAAACCGCCCGTGATGTTGCGAGCGAAATAGGATATCACCAGAACATCTCGGTGCTAATAATCGCAGGGAAGATGAGAAATGCAGGGCATGTCTTATAGCTCAGCCTCCAGCGAGCACTCATCGCCTTTCCTCATGCTTTGGCTGTGCGTGCATTCTTGAGGTTTGCAAGATGCCTAAGCATTGCTGAATGGAATGCGAACGGCTGGGTGTGTCTTACAAATGTCCCGCCTCTACGCGTTGCCGAAGGTAGGAAGCTCTCTTGCTGGAGGCAGGGCAACTGAGGCTTCTCATAGCCATTCTCATCTTGTGAGGGACTTAGTCATTAAACCATTTTAAAAGTGGCAGTGCTACACCATACAATAAAGGTTTTTACAAAAGCAATTTGTAATTGATCTTGTCAGAAGCTAGTTATCAATAGAAAGAAAAAATATCAACTTGCTTCAGTGAGAAAAACGGATGGTGCCTTGTATTCAAGTTTACAAAAACATTTCTACTGACAACCTAAAAAAATTCCATTGAATGGTGCTGTTTTTAACTGGAGTAAAGAGACCCATGTCTGTGTACAACTATCTATAGTCCGTTGCAACCTAAGGGCAAGGGTAAGATGGGCCGGGGAGGAGGAAGCAGACGGAACGCTGGAGAAGAGAGGGGGAAACCTCCTTCTCTCTTTAGTGTTCCGCCTGCTTCCTCCTCCCCAACCCGTCTTACCCTCGCCCTTCGTTCTTAGGTTGCAACTGACTATAGACTCTTTCAAAGCTTATATTAAAGACCCAGGCAGTGACTGTCTACCCTAGATATATCACCATCGTCCTTCACTGGTGCTATGAGACCTCTTCCACAACAATGAAAAATCACAACTTCTCGGAGATGAAATGCATGCTTTAAAGGGGCCCTGCAAGGGCTTTTTGACTGGTTTTTCATTTGCACCGAACCTGAGCGCACTGAACGTAGTCAGTGCAACTTAATTAAACTTTTCTTTTCTCGAATTTCGCTTTATTTTAAAAGTTATAGGCAAATTAAAATTACAAGAACAAGCAAAACATAACCTTTTTCATGACGTCCTTGGTCGCTCGAGTGGCCATGAACTAGAAGAGGGCTAAGTGAGCTCAGCAAGCGCTCCGTGTCAACAGCTCGAGAGGGCGCCATATAGCATGTTCTGGAAAGGCTGTATGAAGCGGGCAGCCAGGGGGGCTCGCATTGCATTTGCTGCACGATTAAACACTAATTCGGCATGACACTTCATTGGTCACAAACGACAGCAAACACGGGGTAAAGATCAGTTCAGAACGGGAGCCACTTCGCACTGCCATACCGCCAAAGGGCCAAACCGCAAGCCAAAGCTGCTCGCCGAAGGCCTTTGAAATGCTCGGAACCGATCAGATTTTCGACTGCAACGCCGCCGCATACACCCGAGACCTTTCTACGCTTGCCCTCGTCATTGCCTGATCCCACTACACCTTTCTAGTATGCGCCGCCTTTTCCACCGCTTGGGTGGCGGGTATGTCGAAGGGTCGTTTCTTGTTTCTGTACTTTATAAACTGCATTTGTTTCTTTTCTGGTCTAAAATACTGAACAAAAACTACTTTCACAAATAATTGAAACGGTTCTTTTAGCTTTTAGCGGCTCCGACCACTAGTAAGCCCAGGACCAAAGACGTCGCATTTCGCGCGCTTTCAGCAATGCGGGTCGCCCCCATAGGTAAAGGAGGTTTCTGCGTCGGCCGGTTAAAATATGACGCACTGACATTTAGTTACTTTCTCCGTGCCCGCTGGCTTGCCTGAACGCCAAGAGACGTGGAAACCGCAAAAAAGGTACACGCTTAAATATGGTTGCAGGGCCCCTTTAATGAAGGGGCAAACAAATCAGTGCAGCCCTTAAAATAAAGCAAGATATAAAATCTGCACTCGCAGAACAGCCGGGCTTTAATTTCTTTATTGCTTTTAACATTTCGGTGTTAACTTGTTTGATTGCTGCAATCTTGTTAGTCAATATTACTAAAAAAAAAAGATGTGCTTGCATTGACCAAAGTGTGAACATTGTTCACACTCTAACAATCTCCAGTCCTGCTTGGCAACGGTAGCAATACATGTACCAACGTTCTCAGATCTAGGTCAGTTGACAAACTTCGGAAAACGCCCGACGCCTTTTTGCAGTGTGTCCGCTCAGTGGCGTCTGCCGCAGTATCAGCCTGCCCTTTGGACAGATCCAGTGGAACGTTGGATGCACATTACCTGCAGTGGAAAGTGATTTTTTTTTTGTTGCTGTTGTTGTTGTTGTTCTTATAGTAAACTTAAGGCCTGCACAATACTTAAAACAGAAAGAGCGTTGTTCAAAAAGCGTTTTTCGTTGACCGCAAAGGAATTGGCACTAGGAATGCTATCCGCCCTTACCTGCTTGTGCACCGGCAACAGAGAAAAACTGGTTTAGAGTGCAGCTCTTAGGTGCCCATTTCCACGCTTCATTGCGTCGCCGTCTGCATGATCACCTTGCTGAATTTAGTGAGAAATTGAATTTGTGTTGAGGTCACGCAATGTCAATTTTTCTGCTAAATCTAGCTGAGGAACTGAATTTGTTTGTGAGTGACGTGGCATGAAGTCATGTGCCATTTAGCAGGGTTGTTTCCTCAACACCAATTCAGTTTCCCCGCTAAATATAGCGGGGAAACTGAATTGGTGTTGAGGTTGTGTGACATCAATTTCCCCACAAGATTTAGAGAGGAAACTTAAACCGCTAAATTTAGCGGGGAAATTCTTGCTAAATTTAGCAGGAAATTTAGCGAAAATTGCCTGCTAAATGGGAGGGGGAGGAGAGGGTATGGAGGGATAGGACAGGCATAACCTCCCCTCCTCCTACTCAAGCGCTGCGCTCTAATTTCATGTTACAAAGAATTGTAAACGTCTCAATTTTTTTTTTTTTTTTACTGCTGCTCTTCTATGGAGCTTGTCAACCGACAGATCTAAGAAAGTTGATGTGTACGGCCCGAGCAGAGGCATCTATTTTTCCAAGCACAAGTTTTGAAACCCCCTTTTTTATTGAATTCTTTCAAGAAGACACTCCGTTTAGAGGAAATGGCAACGAATCTCCTTTTAGCAAATTTGTTTTTAGAAAAACAAAATTCACCGAACTTGACTGCTTGCTCTAGCATTTGCTTGTCCTGCCTTGGCTGATGGCAAAGCCGAGCCAGTCAGTCAGTGAGTCGCTCGCTTGGGCGGCCAGCATATTCAGAGCATGATCGACAAGTTTTTATGCATGCCACATCCTTGCTGTTTTCGCAAGAATAATTTTACATTTTGCCTGGTTTACAGCCCAAGAAAGGAGAGTGGGTGCTCAAGCATAGGTCAACATGCCTCAGTGCATCATGCTCTAGTCTTTAGCATCTTCCAGACTTGCTTATGTTAATCGAATGGATTCACTAAACGGTGCTCCTTTGCAACTGATTGTTGTAGGCTGCACCTACAAGCAGTTGTAAGTGCAGTACATTCTATTAGCATAAAATAAAGGCACACAGCCAAATCACCTCAATGATGCCTAGCAAGTGGCGAAATAAACTTCCCTTTAACAAAGCATGTGTAGCTACCGAGACATCACATTATTCAGAGTGCAGATGCAGAGTAGCTTTCTTTTGGCCTTTGCATCATCTTCCATTGTCCAGGCACAAGCGGCACTGCCGAAAAAGACCAATAAATAAATATTCAACACGGTGTATTATTCACTTTTGTACCTGCAACATTACCGTCCTATATAGATAGTCGACAGCTGCCCCGGCAACTTTCCGGACATGCGGAATCAAAACATCTCATCAACACAAGTGCTATTCGCCACTGCCGTAAGTTGAAGAATACTTTTAAAAAAAATAAAAGTGCATCTTTCAACGCAGTGTCTAGCGTAACCTTACCCCAAGATTTCGAGTTACATCTAAGGTACCCAATATGAAAAATAAAGTTTGGTCCGACGTAACCTAATATGAAAATTAAAGCTATGACAAACAGAACCCAAAATAAAAGTTAGTTACGTCCTATGTAACCTACGCAATGTAAGTTTCGCTTTACGGCCGATGCACGACATAAATACAAAAATGTCATGACTTACTACTGCATAACATCCGATGCAGCATTCATTAGTCAGTTAAAATCTCAACTCTATCCGCACCTCCAGCTTTGTTGAGGGGGCTGGAGTGTTCCTCGCACATTGAAGCTGCTGAAGCTGGGCATCCCCTCCTCTAAAACAATTTACTCAATTGTAGGTACTGGAAACAGAAAATGAACCAGTGTGTGATGGGTTTGGGAGGGAAATAAACGTGGACAAAAGGCAACCAAGCAATTTAGAAGAGACTAGACCCGCCGAGCTAACGTTCTGTACGAACAATCTGAACCTTATATACTAGTTCTTGTACAAATACAAGATACCCACGATATTCCGCGATAAGTAGCCACCAAAATTAACATACCAATTAGGCAGTTCTGTTCGTAAGTCACGCAAGTCGCCGAACTCTCCTCGCAGAACGTTCGCGAAACAAAAACGGCCATCTTGGAAAAATCAAAATAGTGATGGTGATAGCGATGGGGCTTCTATAAAAACTCGGAGAACAAATGTAATCCCTTTATCCGATATATAAAAGAAAAAAAAAAAAAAAACTTATGGAAAACATTTACTCTAGCAAAAACTTCTTAAAATAATGGTAAAGTTTAAAATAAAGATCTAAAGTTTAAACATTTAGTTATGTTAAAATACACTTGGTAAAGTCTATAAATCTTGTTTCAGTAATTAAATGCAAACAGAACACAGACTTCGTAACCCTTCTTGCTGATAGCCTTTCCTTGCAAGCGTGAATGGTCAAAAGCCGATGCCATGATAGGCAGAAATACTGCGTAGATAGCACGCTTAGAGTGTCCAGAAAAAAATAATGGGGGATGTCTATCTTCTTTCCATAAACCTTTTCGGAGTTTACCCTTCCTGCACGTTTCACAGTAATCTGCGGCATGGATTCACCACACTGTTTTTGTGAAGTGTGGCAAAACGTATGCACCACCATAAGAAAAAAATATGACAATTTATTTAAGTACAACAGGAAGCCACGAGAGGGGAAGATGGCAAGATCCGATCCACCAAAAAGGACTGGGCCTAAGAGTGCAGTCTTGAAAGGCTTGGCCCATGAATCAGGACGATTTGAAACCTATGATGAATGCAGAGAACAAAGGGGTCGATCAGGTGAACAGTAACTAATATCTGACCCTAACATGCAGGGCAAGATCTGTTTTGTTTATCTAATATTTGTTATGCCACCAAAAACCAACGTTACTAAAACACTCAGCTAGGAAACTCAACCTTGGAACCTGGACTGCTGGCGTCCACCGAGACCAAACTAAATATGATAACAGTGCCACTCTTTAGCAACAAGTCAAAACATGAAAGTTGCCTTGCATAGCTACTCCAAGATGGCCCTGCGAGATGACACCAGTGGCCCTTCCGAGAATCTACGGAACCAGTCAGTGCAGCAGTGTAGTTCACGGAGTGGCCACCGCGGGAGAAACAGTGGCATTGCGATTGCATTTAGTTTGATTCTCTCATATGGATTGAAGCCACTTTTTCAAAGGAGGCTTCTATAGCAGTTTTCCAACCGAGTGTACTAGTCACGTTGTCAAAGACTTAATTTCTTCCTAACAAAAGCCGGCATAAGTCCATTTTTTTTTAGAAAAAGTTAACCTCGAAGGCTTCAGGGGGGGCCGTCCCCCCCCCCCCCCCCCCCCTTCCCCCACCCACACAGTTTCCCCTAAAATCTGCCAAGAAACTGAGGGAAAAGTGAGGACGAGAGCAGGTGTGGATGTCAGGACACCCGAGCTCTGGTTCGAATGATTAGTGGGTACACCTAAAGCTAGGTGCCTTTGTCTTTACTGCACTCGTCAAAGACGTTCGAATGCGAGAGCCCAAAGCTGGATACCGGCGTTCTGCATTCGAATGTGTTCGACGAGTGCAGCAGAAACAAAGGCTGCCTTTGTCTCCACTGCACTCGTCGAACGTATTGGGATGCAAATGCCAAAGGCCGCCCCCGGCGTTTGGCTCTCGCACTCGAACGTCTTTGACAAGTGCAGTGAAGACAAAGGCACCTAGGTTTAGGTGCCTCTGCGTTCTGATGTCCCTGCACTCTCGTCTCCCCCTCTCCATCAATTTCTCGGCTCATAGAGTTCTGAAAGTTTAACACTGGCAGTGTGCGACAGTAGGCCAGCAGGATGGCATACTCTCCCCTACATGATACAGAATGAGCAGGATCGAAGACAGACAGCTCCGGACGGAACGTCCGCAGTTTACAACTCTTTGGCGGCATGCGCTAACTAGCTATCATCCTCGTCGTTTTTGACGTCACGGGTAGGGCACACTGGGACAGACTGCGCAGATCTTGGAACCTTCGGCTCGACAGTCAGCGTTATGCGCTGTATCGCGCAGCAAAGCCCATTTCGCGCATTGTTTTTATTTGGTGAAGTTATACTTGAAACCGTGCCACGCGTAGTCATGCTAACAAACACTTTTGGCACTAAGGTGTCGAAATGCTGGGATGGTGATGTACTGTTCTCCACCCCAGTACAAAAAGATGGACGATTAAAATAGAATATCCAGCGCTTTACCCCACTACAACATCTAGCTAGCATGGCAAATAGGGTGTATTTATTTTATTATTATTCAGACAAAATTAAGCTGAGAAAGAAATGTCTCATTAAATTGAAAATAGGAAAGCGAAATTCGGGAATCTCTAACCTGTGTAGTAAACACTTCAGTGAAAGCGACTCCGTGTATCTTGGTGGTTCCGATGTGTTTTGTAAGTGCTGATTTCTTATTAGTCCCAAGTTGATTCATTTTTGGTCTTTTTAAACCAGTAAACAAACATTTCCTCAAAACAACTGGCATTGACGGTGGCTGGCTTCCAGAGTCGTCTCAATGAAATCCCTGCTTGTTCACTCGATCGACGTGAAGCATGCGAGACCCCCTCGCGACCGAAGCCTTAAATTTAGTAAGTCGGTGACAATTAGCATCCCAAAAAATTAGGTATACACCTGCTATGAATTCCTACCGTTTGTATGTTTAATTTTTCGGTCCCAATTGCGCATAATGTGTGATGCGCTTTTCAGCGAGCAATTTTACATTTGTAAACAATTCTTAGTAAAAATTTGAGAGAACTAATTAATCGATCGCCTGAAATTGCCGCGATGTGACAAACTTCTTTGCCGCGTATTCGATGCGGGAGGAGCTAATCCGTCAGTTGCTGAAGAGCATTAGCTCGTCAGCAACTGCGGTGTCGGCGAAATAGCAGCGGGCGGTGTCGTCACGTGAAACGTCACATACCTTGGTAGTTGCCAACAGATGGGCTTGCAAAACGCTGTTTTCACCAACCAAAAAAAAAAAAGAATCTAGTTGCTATTGTTATTATTTTTTGACCGAATGTAAACAGCAATGGCCACGCTGATGCTTGTTGGAAACGCATGTGCCCAACTTGCCGGACGAGTGTACTGCTCCACTTTTCGTAATTCTGGGTTCCAAACTGGCTCATGTGACGAAAAAATGTTGCAGATCACATAGGGTTATTATAATGTACGCTAGAGGTTCAAGTGGCGCTCGTGTGCCGACGCAAGTTGAAGCAGACAGCAACCAGTCGAAAATTGACTTCCGGTAATGCATTTCTATGGGGGAAAAAAAAAATGGTGCAAAAACGGCTTCGCACGTGTATTTATGTGCACTGTCGGACACTCTCAGCGCGAACACGACGTCGGCGCTTTCTAGCATCGGTGATATATGTGCCAAACGAACGAAGGTATCTGGAAATTAAGGGAGACGGCCAAACATACTGTCGAACCCGGTTATATCACACCCGTATTTCGAATTATTGTTTATATGAAACAGTCCAAACATCCCCTAGAAAATTGCATTGTTTTTCTGTATCGAATGCCCATAACTCCCATGGAGGGGACACTCGATGTAGCGAACGAAGACTAAGGCTAAGGCGGTTCTTCGCTTCTCCCTATAGGTCGGATTGCGCCGGCCGGGAGCACATAGCTCGGGTTGCGGGGCTGGCAGACCGCCAAGCCAGCATACGCGCACCCGGGAATGCGCACGCGGGGATGCGCAGCGAAAAAGCAATTGTATAAAAATTAAAAAAAGCAACCAATAAAAACAAAAGAAGTGGAGGATGGCAAAAGCAAGGGGAAGGGCACCTGCGCGCGTGGGGAGGGCAGGGAGTGCCCGCTGTTGGAACGGTCGCGTGCGCTCATTTTCCCAAACACCGCTGTCACTGTGCGACTCCTTAGCCCCCCCCCCCCCCCCCCCCCCCCCAAAAAAAAAAAGATTTTGTCAGGTGGAGTGTTTTGACAACAAGGGTTGAGCAATCACACTTTGAACGCCTTATGTTTGTTTACCCTTTCCTTTCCCCGTTATTGCTCCCGTTTCCGGCTTGAGCGGCGTCACCGTCAGGTCTCGACACCCCCCCCCTGAGGTCACATGACCAGACCTGGGGGGGTCACGTAAACCTCAGTTTACCTTTTTTTATACTTTATTCGCTATCAATTTTACTAACCACTTCGTTCTGTTTTCTTTTTAAATCTAATAAAAGTTACTCGCTATCATCAAAACTGTATTGTGTTGTTATTTTATTTTATGACATGCTTTTTAGAGAGTGACAGCATCTAGCGACATGGTGACCGCCCATCTTGACCTAAAACAAAGTTCTGTGTCACTCAGGGAATTTCACAAAAGTACTCAGGGGAAACCTGAAAAACTCAGGGAATTTGAAAATGCCAACTTGGTAGACACATTGAATAACTCTATGGCAGATCACTACCTCAAACTTTCGTTAATGCGGGACTGCTTTTTAAAAACTCTTTGCTGTTGAGAGGGTGCAAATGCATTGAACCCTATGGACGTTCGGTGGGGCCGCCAGATTTCTTCGTTGCCGCGAGAATTTCGTTCTTGAAAGGTTCAACTGTATTAGCAAAATACGAATCTAAATTAATTTATCCCACCCAAAATAAATTCCATGGCTCCTTATTAAACACTGTGATTTTATCCAAGCCTCGGGTAAAAACAGTTTAGCTTTCTCGGCTCCCGATTGGACGCGTCGCAGGTTTCTGCCGGGCAAGCTTTGTCAACTAACGTCCCAACTCTTTAGCCCCGCACACATGGTGAGAGATATCTCGCAGTGGCTGATGTTCGTTCTAAACCTTTCTTTATCCACCGGTGTATTTGGACGTCTGTACGGCAACAAAATGACTGAAAACTTGCAAATTAAGCACAGGTTGTGGATTGCTTGCTTTATAGAATAGCAGACACACAATTCAAGCTCACGTCCGATTTTGTTGCTCGTGGGACGTCATTTTTTTAGCAGAAATTCACTTTTTCTGCAGTTCTACTGTCCCGCATGGTGGACAAACCAGTCATCTGCTCTTGTTCCCTGCCTAAGTGATGCATGACGGGAGTGCATTCAGGTACACACTTAATTCTCAGGGTGCAGCGAGCGCATGCACGTGTGGAGTGCCGGCGGCGAAACAAACTCACTTCATGTTGCGAGTGGCTGCGCATGGGCACGAGTGCAGCGAAACAAACTCACTATTAGTTTTCACATGTGGTCATGCACTGAGCACGAGCATGTAGCTTCGTCTTGCATCTTGTTCGCATGCAGAAGTTGCTTCGACGGCGTAGCAGAAATTACACTAGCCTTGACAATAAAGAACAAAGAGGCTTACGCCGAGCCTAGACACTGGTGCAAAAGACGGCCGAGCCAGAAAACCTAAGCCAAGTCGCCACAAAATTATGTTTCGAAATGGCTGAATAGGCAAGACTGAACCGCCACTAAACATGTTCTGTTGTAGAACACAAAAGTACATCCCCTGACACGAGCGTCCAAAATATACTTACAATGGCTAGCGACGCCTCATAAAGGTCATGCAGTGACCCTCTGCTTGGCCGGTTAAGCCACACGCAGTGCCGTGGAGAGTACAGGACGACGCCCGTGAGCCAGCCGGTGCGGTGACTCCGGGCCTGCCCGTAGTGTTCCGCTGCTACCTTGGACAAGGCGAAAGCGAGCTCATCGATGCCATGATCCCCGGGACCTGTGGTGTATAACTATTGTGATTAAAAGTCTTAGTCGCCGACCAATGTCACTTAGTCAAATGAAAATGAAAGAAGCGAGATGTCTTCTTCCACATTTTGCTGTTCTCTATTTTTGTTCCTTTTACATCTCTAGTTGTAAGATCAATGTTGACCAAGTTCTTTTTTGTTATCAACTTGTTCGCATTAAAATCTAAAATTTTACAACAGGGTAGAGTTGTAAAACCAAGAGGGGCTCCCAACACACGCATGCAGCCCCCCCACCCCACTTCATGGGGGTTGTCCTACGCAAGTATGTAGCTGCGCTGTAGAGAAGCATGATACACATGATCTACACGGACTTTTAGCTGCATTCTTCCATGAATCTAATGTCCGCCTGGCCGTATAACTTATAACTGTCATAACTTTCACTTTTTCTTTGAAATCTGTAAATGTTAAAAAAGAAAACCTGTATAACCATAGCTAAAAAAAATCTGACACTTGAATTGCTAAAAACAGTTTGGGGACTTCCACGAGCGATTATTGCATAAAACAGCTTGTCAATGGTCAGAGCCTAGCAAAGCTCAACCAGCATGGCACTGCCAACAGCGCTGATGTCACTTGCATGACACATCCACATGCCGTGCCAATCATACATGGAACGCATGAAAGCATGGCGGGCAGTCCATGCAGCGTTGACTGTTGGTGGCTGCGGAAGCTCGGCGCAGACACAGAAGCACCAAAGGCGGAGGATGGCACATGTTTTCTGTTGCAGCAATGTCCTTTTGCTCGGCACACCGCCAAAAAACATTTCGGATTGGCGTTCAACATTTCTAATGGTAATCGTCTTATCTGTATGTACTTGGCCGAAAGAACCGTGAGGACATTGAGAAAATCGTGTTCCGCAGTCAATTTACCTGCCCTTCGTAGTACACTATGTACTGGCGCGTGACGTTGCTCTGTGTTCCTAGTATTATATTTCTCTTTTTTAGATCGCTGCAAAAGACGAGGACAAAGACATTACAGCAGCACTGCCAATAGTTTCTCCATGTTGAGTGCTGAATCCCTGTGAAGCAGGATACGTTTCTCAAACCTTGCTGGCGCCATGGCCACAAAACGAACAAGTGATATCAATGCATGCCTTTTATATGGTCGGTGACAACTCAAGAAGGTAGGGGAAGAAAAAGGAAGGTGGGAGAGGACGAGATGGATGCAGCGCCGGCGAAGGGAGAGGGTTTGACCAGCATTGTGCCCGCTTCCTCCTCTCCCACCTTCTTTTCCCTGACCCTACCTCCTTAACCTACAACATAGTTCAAATCAAACTGCAAAATTTCTTCGAGGCTCGAGAGTGAAAGCAGCTTGTCAGGATGTATTTTGTGTGAATACCATTTAGCTGAAGCACATTGTTTTTGTGGACTCAAGGTACGTGCCTAAAAAGTCAATGCCAGATGCCAGGGATCTTTGTGAGAAAAAGAACACTTAAAAGATATCCTCGGCCGCAGCTGGCTCTTTGAGTCACATATTTGACGATAGGTATTGTTAACACATATTTATGTGAACACCAGGATGCTGTTTTGATGGTAACATACTAAATGGTGATAAAAAAAAAAAAAAAAAACAAAGCTGGGAGTAGAAGCACATTATCTACCTTACCCTACCAAAGAACAACAATGAAACGATTAGTCACCTGCTCAGGACTTTGGTCGTCTGCTTAGTTGTGGGCGACGCCTCTGCGAGCATCAACGACAGCCCCCATTCTAGCGTGCAGAGAGCCATACAGTGCTTCTGTAAAGGATGCCTTCACCATCAGACTTTTAACAGAGCGGTCACTCCTTTTTTTTTCTGCGCACCGAACGAAAGGACGGTACAGTAGCAGACGACGCCAGCGTGCACGGCTGCTGGCGTCACTGCGTGTGCTCCAAGCTTCCGCGGGTGCTTGCGGTCCTTGCTGCATGGAGCAATGGCTACGCACTCGCGTGCTCCCTTCAAGATTGGACTGCTCAGTGCACCGCTAGGAAAAGCAGTACAAAACATACCGCGACGATGCATCAGGGGCATGCACTGGTCCCCTGAAGTGTGCTTCGAACCATGTGCAGTGCAGGGTGCAGCACAGCATCCGCGTGAGTCAGCCGCGGCAGTGATTCGGGGCTCGTAGTGTTCTGCGGCTGCCTTGAAAAAGTGAGGGCCAGCTCTTCGCACCTCCTCTGAAAAATGTTTTACAACAGAGAGGTCAGTTATCTCCCTGCCTCTCATTGCCTTTCTGCTGTCCTGTCCTTTGTTCGAGAGCAATCGCTGCTATATTGTGTCTCAGCACGATCACCTTAGTCATACAAAGGAACGTGCAGATAAAAATCATTATTATTAAAGCACGTTTTACCTTCACATTCAAACTTCGGGCCTCCTGCTTTCTCCTCGCGTGTGGCGGCAAGCGTCTGTTGAGGCTACCATGCTTCGAGACGATCCTCGCGTGGTTCAGACCTGCGTTAGATTTTTTTTTTTTTTTTTTAATTACGCCCTGGCAGCTCGTTTAAGCGCCTCTCGGCGTGTTCCCGCGCAGACAGTGACAGGCGAAGCATCAGATTCTACGCTTGCTTCGTTGGGCCTTCCTGTCTCGTTGAAAAACTGGATCGAAGTCTGTGTCGATGGCATGCAATCATTGCTATAGCGACTTATTGAGCACTTGCGGTCATACGGAAGCTTCCAAAATTGTGAGCGCGCTCCTAAGCCTTTGCGGAGGGCTCTGCTAGCCGTCACGTCCGCATGTTCTACCGAACGATTTCGGGCGAGCGGTTGGTAAAGGCAGCTCAAGAAACAAATCGACACGTTGAGCGCACGAAACCCAATTCAAATCCGCTTGGATGGCATCAGCATTCAGCACCGACCGACCATTCCCGCCATTTCTGGTAGCGCCTTTGTTCCCGGACGCACCGGACTAAATTACGTCAAACGACTCCAAACGGAACTGAAGCACTAAAGTGCGGTGAACACTCACCTTTATGAATACCTCCTGTTCTTGGTGTTCTTGGAGATGTACGAGAGGTATTTGGCGGCTCTGGCGGTTCGCGATCGACGCCGGTGTAGGACGCCGATCTCACTACCCCTCTGCTTCGACTACGGTAGTGGTTATGGCCTGGTTATGGCGTACGCCAAAATCAATACCGTAGTCATTTCGGCGTACGCCATAGTCAATACCGTAGTCTTTTTCGCATACCCCAAACACACTACCCTTACGCCAAATTCAATACCTTGAATAACGTCGGTTCAGCAGGGGTTGAGCCAGTTGAGCTCCGCATTTCGCTAAAACTGGCGGAAGTAACTTTCTGCAGCAAAATACCCTGATTGTTTGTTGTTGTTTGTATGAGCAGCGGAACGCGCGCGGCAGGCGTTGTTAATTTTGATTAGCGTTGATACGGCTGACGGCACAAGCAAGGAAGCTTGGAGTGATTCTGTGTGAATGTGATTTGACATCGCTTCTTTCTGTTTCTTCGATCGGGGTGCAAATGCAGGTGCCCGACTCCCGAACGATTCGAAGGCAAGAGTGGTAGCCCGCCTGTCCGCTGGTCTCAATCGCATGCACTGTCGTCGTTTTGGGCACATCGGAAGAAAATAAGACGCTCACTATTTTAAATAGCGTGCGATCGGCCTGTCTAGGTTCTGGCGACACCGTTTCAGGCTGTATTTGAGAAAATTTAGCCACTACAGTACGACTGCTAGCCTGGGGTATGTGCCTCACAACAGATCGAAACGCGGTGGGGGTGGGGATCCCTGGCAGCGGGACCTTTCGCTGTACGAGCTGCGGTGCGCTAACACACTCGACCTCCGATACCCCCTTGGGTCACAGCGCTTGCTGAAAGAAGTTTGGATCGTTTTACGCAGATTTTGCAGTGCGTACGAGACGCACAACTGCTACGTACTACGTCCTAGATGCCCAAACTGAGGCTCGCTACTTGTGCGCGGCTCTCGTGATCTGGAGAACAGTATGCTCGCCATGAAAATGTTGCAGTGAGAAGTACGGAAAAGTAATATTATAAAAGTAAAGTATTTAAAACTGGCTTGCATTGTCACTGAACATATGAAAACAAAACTGATTAGGAATGCCGATCAGATCGGGTGGGAATGGGATATAGATCTTTAAATAGGCTCGGGTTATGTGCGAAGTTGCGAACAGGTGGGCAGGGGTGCTATATTCTCCATCCCCCACATAATTCAAACTCGTTGCCCCCATCCCTGTTCCTATATTCTTCCAATGTGGCAGGTTCTTTTTTTTTTTTTTTTTTCTTTGTGCCTAGAGCTGCAGTTTTCTATGCTTCATCTCCCCTTAGCATGGACTGTTAGCCAGATTCTACAAGTGTGAGCTAATTGCTTTGGATCACACCATGGCGGTTGCACGAGCGCTCATTTTCTGCAAGCGCTGTGAAGGCAGTCGAGGCTATACCATCTTGCGCTTGCGCAGCCTTTGCGGTTTGAGGTCCTTTGTTTTGGCCTGTTCTTTTGTGTCTGGGTTTCATGTCCTTTTTGTTTCTTGTTTCGTGTGCTGGGTATGGTTGGAAGTTATGTTACACCTAGTAGTAGGATCTTTTGTAGAAACATTGGTTTGAGAGTAAATGGTCCTAGTACCTTCTTTCTTTTCCTTTGGCCGAGCAGAGAGGGAAAATGGTTTCTTCATGTCGACTTCGGGACAGAAAATAACCCACGATCGGGACAAATGCAAGTTTGGGGAAACCGTATCTAGGTCACAGCGGCTCAATGGGCAAACAGGATGTGGCTCACGTTTTGTGTGTCGAACAGGTTAGAGAGGCCTGGTGCGCGCATTGTTTTCTAGCCATTTATTCTCGATCCCAGTCGCGTGTCTAGGTGGCAGCACGTATTCGCCAAAGGGTGGATTGTGAAGGAGGTATGGACGTGTATATAAGGCGGTGTTTGTTGAATAATTCAACCTGTGTCCGAGACTTCAATGTTCGTTTCATTTTTTTTTATTTTCCTAAGTCTCGGGTTTACTATGTTTGTCATTCACCAGCTCACCTGTGTTTTCTCCCTTTCTTCACTGAATAATGTACTGGTCAAGAATTATCTGGTCTTACCCGAAGTCGAAGGGAGACCAATGGAGTTTGAGGTAGACAGTAGCTTACCACCTTGACCAGGGCAAGACCCTAGATGACGCGTTGCTGACACATGAGGAAGCTCTTGACCCAGGGATGAGCAGGCACAAAGAACCCTTGGTGAACCTGAATCTGAAAAAAGATGTAGCTCTGCGCTTTTTGAAGGCCAGCCCTGTTCCTTTTGCAATGTGTACCGCAGTGGAGGCAGAACTCTGGATGCTTCAAAGCTAAGGCATAATCGAGCCAACACAACGCGGTTGAAAAACTGGCGGTAAATCTGATGCGGGCTGTAGCAGATTTTGTGGCGAGCGTGCTTGGAGGCACTATTTTTTCAACACTGGACCTCACTAATAATAATAATAATAATAATTTTTATTTGCACAAGAAAGTTTGCCCACTCAGCGGCGTGCAATGCTAGACGGTAAGGTTAGTACCCTTACGCATGTGCGCCTGCTAGTCCGCCACTGAGTAGGTGTGGTGGTGGTGGTGGGGGTGGTGTTTGCCTGACGTGAGGTTTTTCTCACTGGCTGTGGAAAAGTTGAAAAAAACCTCACGTCAGGCAAACACCATCGCCACAAACTGTAGTCGTAAGTACAAGATAACAGATACACGTATGGAAACAATGAATAATCATAACCCAGAGGAGAAGATAAGAAAACTTGCTGTGCCCCAACCCACCCCCACGCAGACCATGGCAGAGGCCCCAGCCACAAGGCATTGCACTATAGCTGTGTGTGACGGTGCAGACAGCAGATATGCTCACCATAAACACCATCAAAGGATGACAGAGTGAAAAGGATGCTCTTGAAAATTTCGGCTGCTGCGGCAATTTTCCAACTCCGCAAGGAGACAGTCCTAGCAGGAAAACCCATCATGGAAATTTACCTGGGTAATGTTGTTGTGACGATCTGGATCGGTCATCAAGATAAATGGGCACCGTGCTCAGGAAAGACATGTCAACGTCATCAGCTACCATGCCAAAACTACTTCTTTTATTTCGATCATGAGCGCTCGCACGAGCCGCTTCAGAGCGATGTCTCTTTTGCAGCTCGTCGCGTGCCAAGGTTCTTAAGTGTTGACCTGATATCACGCTGCCATACACCAAACACTAAACAAACATTAAACAAATACTGCGTTGAGCAATATGCACATGAATAAATAATGATATACATACGACGTGATAAATGAGAAAAGACATAAATTTTACAAAGTTCAGTCCCCAGGTAGAGGCTGCACAAATTTGATGACCGGCTTCAGTTTCTCCACATGCACTACATCGCGGCCAGTACCATCCACGAGTTCAAGCTAGTAGTTCACGGGAGAGAGCCGGCTCACAATTTGGCGAGGGCCTGTAAATCATAGTGTTGCCTTGACTCTGATGAGTGGGCTCTCCTACAACACGAGCTAGTCAAAAAATTGTAAGGGTGCAGGCCAGCTGGTGGAAGTTAACCATAGTTTTGTTTAACCCGAGACTGGGGTATTTCGGAAAAGGGACGAGAAGAAAAGAGGCCACAAGGAGGCGACGTCTCAAGGAGGCGACGTTGAGACGTCGCCTCCTTGTGGCCTCTTTTCTTCTCGTCCCTTTTCCGAAATACCCCAGTCTCGGGTTAAACAAAACTAAGAGCTAGTCCTTCTCAAAAAGAACATACATGTGCCACTGTCAAAGTCGCTTTCTCGCTTTTCTTGAGCAAGCTTGATTTGTCTGAAGGTCAACTTCCGAGCTGCGTACCGCTGTTGAATGTAACACCAACGTTGGTGCTGAGGGTTGACTACTTTCCAAGGTTCTGAGACAGAAGTCCCCTGGCAAAAAAAGGCTTGATCAACGGAAAATGGGCTCAGATTCCGCATTGCTAAGCTTAATTGTCTTGATGCCCACTGCAGCACCAGAGGTGATGTGACAAACTACTGATGACACCTTCCAGGCGGTAGGGGCATCAAGTTTTCACTTTTCTCCGTCAACAATGCAACAGACTCAAAGTGCCGTTGCCATTCCAGAAATTCTTGGGTCAGCTCTTGCCGACATCACGTGACCAAAGTGGCCGCTTCTCTTACAAATGAGACGGAGCGGACGAACTTCAGGATATTGGGACGAAGAACATTGAAAGTCCCGCAAAGTTTTTGACATATGCTGAAGCGACGCATGCTGCTTCTTTTGCTTCTCTGTTGCAGAAGGGTGCTGGTGACGATTGGTGTCGTCGGCGTTCCGATGAAGCGGTGGCCGGCCCTGCTTCGAGAGCAGGAGGGAGCGCGCTTTCTTTGTCCCTGCGCAGCTTGCACTCACTCTGCAGCGAGAGCCAAAACCGGTGTCTTTGGTTGGCTGAAGACAACCTGGTCAAAGCAAAGGAAAGAGTCCAGCAACTCATTCAACGAAGCGAAGCGCCTGTCGAAGCATGCTTTCGTGCTTTGTGGAAGAGTGTGGCCAGGATAACCTTGCATTTCTCCGCCTTCGTCTCTGGGTAGCTGCACTCGTGGATGAGCTCCAGTAAACAGAAGGCGGAGTCGGTGCAGGATCGTATGTATGGCTCTGGGTGCAGGACCCTCCCAAGTGCTGACTTGTGCTGAACATCTTTTGTTTTGCCTCAGCTTCGTTGTCCAGGTTGTAACGACGACGGAAACCTTTCTTCATTTGCTCCTACATTGTTAGCTTGGCCGTCTTGAGGTGGTACCTAATCCACATGGAGTCCTAGCTTAGATGGTAGCTTGGATACAATCAATGGGATGGCCTCACCTGGTGCAACTTTAAACGTCTGGAACCTGAAATCTATCTGGTGAAACCAGGCGATGATGTCCGTGCGCAGCCGAGAAACCGAGCTGACAGTCACGTTGGTCAGCGACTGCAGTGTCTGCGGCTGACTCAGCTTGAGTAGGAACCCTCTTCCTAGGTGCCTTGGACCTTTTTTTCTTTGCGGACTCTTGGAGCAGTGTACGTCAGAGTCCACGCTGCACGAAAACTCCAAGGACGAGGTTTTCG